CGCTCTAATGTTTACAAACAATGTCTCCCACATGTATGTACTGTATGTTACACTGCCATAACAAGCATGGTGGTCTAGTTGTGGTCCAGTGTGGTGGTCTAGTTGTGGTCCAGTGTGGTGGTCTAGTTGTGGTCCAGTGTGGTGGTCTAGTTGTGGTCCAGTGTGGTGGTCTAGTTGTGGTCCAGTGTGGTGGTCTAGTTGTGGTCCAGTGTGGTGGTCTAGTTATGGTCCTGCAGAGTGGTCAAGCAGACACTTTTGCTGTCTTTGAAATTAAATCCCCAGTAACCTTTCACGGTTTACAAGAACATCATGTTGTGTTGAATGTAGACTTGACCAAGCCGAACTCCTGACAGCTGTCCTGCAATCCCACCTACCTATTTACTTACTTCCCCTAAGCCACGGGTAAACAAGCTGAGAACATGGAATTTTAAAGCCATACAACGGTTCGATTCATTAAAAAATAATATCAGTCAAAACTAAGGGAAATAACTGGAATCTAGAGGAGATAACGTTTGTTTCCCTTTCAGCAGAACCGACAAATAAACAATAGACCTCGCCCCCCACTCCCCCAGCACCGCCTACATCTTTCCCTCACACTGTTACGGTAGGTTGTTGGGTTGTACGCTGGTTGCTCATTGTTTTCTTTTAGAATTAATTAACAGGATGAATTTATTACCCGAGATTAGCGGAATCTCCAGGTGTTGTAGGCTTATCAAATCTTGACTTGTGGGCTAATTAGGTCTTTACTAGTGGGCTAATTAGGTCTTGGCTAGTGGGCTAATTAGGTCTTGGCTAGGGGGCTAATCGAGTCTTGACTAGTGGGCTAATCAAGTCTTGACTAGTGGGCTAATCAAGTCTTTACTCTAATTTAAGATAATTACAGTAGGAAGTATTTATTGTGTACATTCTCATAATAGATGCTTATATATATATATATATATATATATATATATATATATATATATATATATATATATATATATATGTATATTTATATATATATATATATATATATATATATATATATATATATATATATATATATATATATATATTGGGTGTGGTAGTTGGCTGTGGGTGTGGTAGCTGGGTGTGGGTGTGTGTTTATTGGTGTATTTAAGCCAATCTATTTATAACGGAGTTGTAAATACAACGATGTTAGACGCAGGAGCTCCATTGTAAAAAAAAAAAATAACCAACTTCTATTTAAAGGTCTCTTATTTATAGCATATGACCTTTAGAGTCGTAGACTGCTCAACGTGAGTACAACCGCCCGTGCCGACCCACATCAAACAAGATGAAACGGTAACCGCTCTTGCTTCATTATCAAACAACAGTTGCCCCACATATAACTAGATCTACCATTTAACTGAACAATCCGCAGACGGCCCTAGACGTGTAGAACGCTGCATCTACTAAACGTTGGCTTGGCCACGCAGACGATTGACTGAATGGGAACTCCCGGGGAAGATTGGATCGGCTGCTCCAGTTTTTCAGTTCAATCAAACAAATTGCCTCGCAGTAAATGTGGTTCATTCTTCCAGTAATGGCGGCAAGTTCATATTTAAAGAAAAACTTAGCAGACAATCAACTGATGGATCACGTACACGCTCATTCAGCGGCCTTAACACGGACGTGCACACGACACTAGGTTTTCATTGACGTGCACACGACACTAGGTTTTCATTGACGTGCACACGACACTAGGTTTTCATTGACGTGCACACGACACTAGGTTTTCATTGACGTGCACACGACACTAGGTTTTCATTGACGTGCACACGACACAAGGTTTTCATTGATGTGCACACGACACTAACTTTTCATTGACGTGCACACGACACTAGGTTTTCATTGACGTGCACACGACACTAGTTTTTTATTGACGTGCCCACGACACTAACGTCCTCAACACGGACGTGCACACGACACTAACTTCTTCACACGTGAACTAACGTCCCATGGACGTGCGTACGACACTTACTACCACAAAACAGACGTGCACAGGACACTAAGGTCTGACAGACGTGTACACGAAACAAAATTCTCACTGCTCTTTCAAGTGCAGTTATTCCATGTCATATGAAAGTGGCTATAAGCCCATTACGTAACTATGCTGTGGCATTTATCCTAACACGTAAGTATACAGTGGCATTTATCCTAATACGTAAATATACAGTGGTAGATATCATAATACGTAATTATATAACGGCAGTTAGCCCATAGCGTAAATCTGCCGAGGTATTTAACCCATTATGTATATCTCTAGTGCTAGACAATGTTCAAGGTTTTTTTATGTGATGGTATATGTAACAATGGATAAAGTTTTTCCATACAAACCTTCATGGTCTGTGTGTGATTTACGACGACATGGACTGAATTGGTTCTCTTTTCCTGGTCATATTTTGACCTCATACATAATTTTGTATTGTGTGTCTCTTTGTATGTGTAATTTTGCTGGTCCGTTCCTGCTTGCATGCGGCTCATAAAAGGTCCGCCATTATTTAAACTTGACTTTGTGGTACCTGTAGCTATTTGTTTCATCTAATGGCCAACTTCAAGACATGAAGAAATAGTTCTGGGTAGGTCTGGAATGTACATCAGCTAGTCGACTAGCTTTCTAATTAAATCGACAAACTGACTAGTTTTCGAGTAACACTCTACTAACTCGACTAACCGACTAACTTGAATTACTGAATTAATACGAATTCCATCGTCAAACGCACAAATTACTATCTACAAAAATAATCGGCTAAATATCAAATAACCGGCTAACACAAAATTAACGAAACCGTCTAACATGAAGCCAACAGGCTAAAACTAAAAAAAACCCACCTAACACAAAACCAACCGGCTAAAACGCAAATAACCGGCTAACACAAAACCAACCGGCTAAAACGCAAATAACCGGCTAACACAAAACCAACCGGCTAAAACGCAAATAACCGGCTAACACAAAACCAACCTGATAAAACGCAAATAACCGGCTAACACGGCTAACTGGCTGTGAGCAGCCAAAAATAAAATAAGGGTAAAATGTTTCATCAAAGGGGCCAGAACGGGGTGAGGCTCACATTGAAAGACGCCAGACGAGATGAATGATGAATGCTGGGATTGGAGGAGATTCTTTAATTGGTTCGCGAGAAAAATCAGAAATTGGATTTGATTCATGTATTTTATGCATGTTTGTATAATGTGCAGGGATGGCGGCGGTGGGGGGTGGGGAATATGAGGGCCATGGAGGAGCATGTCACGGTGTATGTGTGAGCAGTTCTCCTGATAATGTGCGCTTGTGTGAGCGAATAGAAATATCTTTATGACTGGGGTGTTCGTGTGCGTCATTAAGTTTATGTGTGTGTGTAGGTGCATCAATGTAAGTGTTCGTGTGTGTGTAGACAGCTCCGTGTCTGAGTGTTGACCGCCCCACGAATGTGGTTAAACACCGCCATTTTTATTCGCCGCGGCCCTGTTTCTGATGTTTTAATTAAAGAAAATAATAAATAAATAAATAGAAGGGGCTCTAACGCCGAGGCTCTATTTACAGACGTATTCACAGTGTGGACAATTCAAGGGTGTCGTTTGTGACGTTCCATTTCCCGCCAAATTATACATATTTGCTTGTAATTTCTCCCTTAAGCTCTAATCATTTCTATAATTATACTTTTATAAATGTAATGAGTACACAAATTAAAAGACATTTAGGACGTTACACGTTATAAATAAGTTATTATACAGGCACGCATAAGTGTGTGTGTGTGTGTCTATGTGTGTGTCTGTGTGTGTGTGTGTTTGTGATGCTCAATATATTTTTTAAAAGACCTACATGTACTGAGTTGAATGCTGTTCGTGTGTGCGTGTGCATGTCCGTGTGTGTGTGTGTGTGTGTGCATGTCCGTGAGTGTGTGTGCGCATGTCCGTTCGTGTGTGTGTGTATGTCCGTGTGTGTGTGTGTGCATGTCCGTGTAAACTGTGTCGAATGCCGCGCGTGTGCTGACGCCCATAACAATGTCATCTCCAAGTGTGGGTGTTTGTATACACGGGGTATACTATAAACAAAGTGCCGTTTTCTTCTAGTAATGTCTGGTAGGGGGAGATGCAAATCGGTTGGCTATTGGGGGTGGGGGAGGGTGAAGGCTGTCAGAGAGTCCATCTTCTTACACTTCAATGTTTATATGTATAAAACATATATAAATATAGATATAAAATGTTATGTACAACGCTGTGTAATGACGTCCTACTTGTATGCTGGGAGGTGTAATGACGTTCTACGTGTATGCTGGGAGGTGTAATGACGTTCTACGTGTATGCTGGGAGGTGTAATGACGACCTACTTGTATGCTGGGAGGTGTAATGACGTTCTACGTGTATGCTGGGAGGTGTAATGACGTTCTACGTGTATGTTGGGTGGTGTAATGACGTTTTACGTGTATGCTGGTAGGTGTAATAACTTTCTACGTGTATGCTGGTATGTGTAATGACGTCCTACTTGTATGCTGGGAGGTGTAATGACGTTTTACTTGTATGCTGGCAGGTGTAATGACGACCTACTTGTATGCTGGGAGGTGTGATGACGTCCTACTTGTATGCTGGGAGTTGTAATGACGACCTACTTGTATGCTGGTAGGTGTAATAACGTCCTACTTGTATGCTGGGATGTGTAATAACCCTATTTGTATGCTGGGAGGTGTAATACGTCCTACTTGGAAGTTGGGAGGTGTAATGACGACCTACTTGTATGCTGGGAAGTGTAATGACGTCCTACTTGTATGCTGGGAGGTGTAATGCCTTCGTATTTCGACCACAAGTTCACATGCATTATTATTTCAACACGCCCTAGTAAACAAAAACATCACGTGACATTTGTAAAGCGTGGTGAGTGGTGTTCACACAGATATTTGGCAACACCAACTTGCCCGCGTTCATCTCACCAACACATCTCACCAACAACACAGGGTCAAAATTCAACACAACTCACTTACACAAGATATTTTAAGAAAACAACCAAATACATTTTATTGAATCCAAATAATAAATATAAGAACCAATGGGTGTCGAGCTCAAGGACCACGCGACTTACAACGATCACGTGATCCTCAGCCCACAACCATTTCAATACATGCTCCCATACGATTGCCAGTTTGCTACATAAACCCTCAGTTTATTTTAGTTTTCATTCAAAATACATTTTTTAAGACAGTCATATTATTAAAAGCAATAAAAATATATTGAAACGAATTTTATATACAACATTATTTGTAATGAAAGCATTATTTCTCCATCGTTCTATTTGTACAATCATAGAAGCAGGGATTAGCAGAATGTTCCACGCTACACTTGGGTTAAACCTGTCCTAGGTGCCTGAACAAGAGGTGTGGCGAGAAGGTGGGGGGGGCGCATGAGATGACGTCAGACAACTGACACAACACACAATAGTGCACAGGGAAGGAGGGGGTATTTAATACAGTTTCACCATGTCAAAAACGTTTTTTTAACACAAAATTAAAAACTACTGAGTTTTAAACAAATTTTTAAAAACCTGACCAAAGCCTAACTGGCAAACCAATAATCTTTTTACACGACAGCGGCAGTGCCACAATCTCGCGCCAGTTGTGTCAATCAATCATTCACTTTAAATTTGTCAACAGCCGCCAATTAACAAACAAACCAAAAAAATTAGTTCGATTACTCGCTGATTATTCCCTCACAAAAACCTGCTTCAGGCTAGAAGAGTTCCGCATTCAAGTCAGCAGTAAAAAAATTTACTTGCACTCATGTTGTATAGGGCCGAACTACATTGTCTACATCCCGCTATTTCCACATTCAAGTTAGCAGTAAAAACATTTACTTGCACTCATGTTGCACAGGGCCCAACTGCATCCCGCTATTTCCACATTCAAGTCAGCAGTAAAAAAAAAAATACTTATAATTATAATGGTGTTGTACAGGGCCCAACTGCATCCCGCTATTTCCACATTCAAGTCAGCAGTAAAAAAAATTACTTGGACTTGCACAAGGCCCAATTTTATCCCACCATTAGAGACTGTCAACGAGCTGGTGCGGGGTTCATGGTATCAAGTAATCTGGACAGGTCAACTCTAGAGAAACTTTAATCAAATATCAATTTATTTATTTTAAAAACTCGAAAGAATAAACCATGGAGATTAGTTAGACCCAATTAAAAACCTCATGAAATGTGAACAAAAGAGATACAGTTACCTGTAGTTTGTGCAGGTATTGTTTTACAGTAAACAAACAGAAAAATAAATCATGCTGCAATTTTTTTTTCAATCTCGGTTTCAGAGAAGTTTGTAGACTGATGTTTCATGATGTACAGGCAAGTTAAAAGCTGATGACACATTTTATATGACACACCACACACTGTGTTATGACACACTGATAGCTTCATACAAAACATCATCTCTATTCATCACCTTTAACTGACACAAACAACTTCAGGCATACTTTAGCCTAACTTAGCGAAAGTGTTTTCTATACGAGGGTAACAAAACTGCCCTGGTCCTATAGCACATGCCCAGGAGGTCAAGTTAAATCTCCAGTTTTAGAAAGTCTTGGACAAGCAATGTATGGCGATGGAACCTCTGCTAGATAAATCTGAAACAGATAAAATGTGGCATTTAGGTGGGTCATGATTTAGGTGGGTCATGGTTGGGTCATGATTTAGGTGGGTCATGGTTAAATGGGTCATGGTTGGGTGGGTCATGGTTGGGTGGGTCATGGTTTAGTTAGGTCGTGATTTAGGTGGGTCATGGTTCAAGTGGGTCATGATTTAGGTGGATCATGGCTCAGGTGGTTCATGATTTAGGTTAGTCGTATTTTAAATGAGTTATTATGTGCTCCCGTTCAAAAGTCAAGTTCAAGCTTACAGATCAGACATACTCAACACTTGACAATTAGAAGACGCTAATCAAAATTACGTCAGCTGACAACACAATCCATCACAGCCAACACAGAAAACTATCAACACGAGTTTGGCACAGCGGTACCTTCCAGCTAGTTCATTTCTTAGGTCAAACTCACCGCTTAACTCAAGCACCCTGAGTTAAATAAACATCTAATGAGCTAACGACCTAAGCGGAGATGTTGACCTGTAGATCCATCACCCCGCTTGACCTAATGACCAACATACCAACAGATCGGTGTACAGCATCGTGTGATGGTAGACGTCTGGTACATCAGACGACATTAAGACGTCACTTGAAGATGGGGGGGGGGGGGCAGACCATCCGTTTGGTGTTTTTTTTTTTTGGGGGGGGGGGGGGGAATTAGCTCATAAAAATCTGGTAACAGCCAGATAGGTATCTCATGGCAACCCAATTCTCACACTGGTGGCTCGTAAATCTCAGTTTTTACAGAGTGATTTCAACCAATGATGATGTAGATCTCAGTTTTTACAGAGTGATTTCAACCAATGATGATGTAGATCTAATCTCAACAATTTGTTCGGTAATAATTCTCGCAGGGGCCAGTGTAATGACAATCACATATTTGCCACAAACCCACAAACAAACAAACGGACGTTGCGAACTAAGTGAAAGTTTGTAAGAATCAAACCACACACGCAGGTCCCCATGTGAATCCTAAGACACAATTCCACGTTGTCTCAACCATCGAACATGTGACATACAATCACACAAGCAACTACAAACATGCAACTACATACTTTCCCCATATCTAACCACACTCCTGCCCCCCCCCCCCCCCCCATCCAACCACACCCCCACAACGACACGAGAGAGAGACAACAAGACAGCACAGCTAAAACCAACAAAATATGAGCGCCCTAGCGACGTGTGACAACAAAGCCCCCGAATGTTCGACAACTGCCCAGGGACTGTCCATTCAGGTTGGCCAGCATATCTGGACACCCCTCGGGACCTTTCAATCCCGGCCAATATTGCGGGACCTTTTGTTTTTATTTGGCTGCAACATGTGACTTGCAATGATTAGGGGACGACAGAGAGGGTCAGTGTTATTTGTTACAAGAATGCACCGACTGGCATTAGGGTAAAGAGATGACCGCGTCAACATAGAGGAGGGGGTGGGGGGAGGGAGAGGGTTCTCAAACATGCAAATTGACAAGGTGTCAATGTGCAGAACATTTTCATGAGCTTGGAAAACGTTTATGTTTTAACAGAAAGATTTCACGAGCTTGTAAAACCATGTTATAACAGAAAGATTTCATGAGGTTGGAAAACCATGTTTTAACAGAAAGATTTCATGAGATTGGAAAACCATGTTTTAACAGAAAGATTTCATGAGGTTGGCTTGATGAAAAGTACACAGGCGTGATCATGGACACTAGCGTGGTAAAGTGGATAAATGATGATAATTAAGACAAAAGTATAATCACGTAACATATCTAATTCTAATTTTCATTACAATCAACCACACCACAAAACCGTCTTAAAGACCCCAAAAAACTAATGAGTTATCTGTTTACAATTGGTTTCATGCCAATTGCCAAAGTCCCCATACGGCTGCCTAGTGATTTAAAGGAAGGTGTAGTAGAGGCAGGTGCTAGAGCTGTGACCGGCCCAGCTAATGATGTTCATCCCCGTCTATTGTCCGCGAGAATTGCTTGAATCCATTTCCATTATTGGCAGTGGGGGGAAGGTCAGACATGAATATTTCCCCGCCACTCGGATCAACCGTCTCCCCCTCGGAGAGCGGCATCAAGAACTACCCTCAGACGGCCCCCACCCCCAGTTTGTTTAGCATGCCATTATTCCAGCCTGACACATGTCTGCGAGTGCTGGGGACGGGCTCATCAATATTAGAAGCGAGCGGCCCATACCAGGCTCATACATGGGGGGGGGGGGGAAGCGGCCCATACCAGGGGGGGGGGGGAGCGGCCCATACCAGGGGGGAAGGGGCGGCCCACAGCAGGTTCCCATATAGGGGGGGGGGAGCTGCCCATACCAGGCTCCTATATAGGACGGGGGGGGGAAGAGCGGCCCATACCAGGGGGGGAGGGGCGGCCCACAGCAGGTTCCCATATACGGGGGGAGCTGCACATACCAGACTCCCATATAGGGGGAGAGGCCCATACCAGGCTCATACATAATGGGTGGGGGGCAGCCCATACCAGGCTCCCATATGGGGGAGGGCGAGAGACCCATACCAGGATTTTATAAAGGGGGTGGGGGGGGGCGGGAGGCCCATACCAGGCTCACATATAAAAATAGAACGGGGGGGGGGGGGGGGCGAGCGGCCCATACCAGGCTCCCATAAAGTGGGGGGGGGGGCGTCCCATACCAAGCGCTCACATATGGGGGGGGGGGTATTAGTAGCCCCTTACCATTTGAAAACTAAATTTAGCGTTTCTGCTGCCAACTGAGTTACTGAGTTTTCTCTCTCTCTCTCTCTCTCACACCTACACTCACACACACGCAGACACACACACATCGAAGTACACGTTACAAAGATTTATATCTTTAATAAAGGATTTTGTTGAGATCAAAATATGCCTGAATGGTCCCTGGCTTTATTAGGTTAGTCGGTTAAGAGCAGGAAAAAAGATGGAGGAACATTGAAAAGGGTGGAATAGGACATTCTGATATATGATGGTTAAACTATATATATATATATATATATATATATATATATATATATATATATATATATATATATATATATATCCCACGGACATCAGTTTTGTCAGAGACGTAGCAGTGTATGGGAGAAGAGGATGATACAATTATAGCTGCAACTCTTCCTCCGATTTTCAGATCGGGAGGAGGGGCAGGGGGTGGGGGGAGGAAATCATTTAATGACGTCATTAAAACACAATCTGTGTTTAACGAATACATTTTTAAGAATGATAACATCGTTTACAACAAATATTAGAAAATATTGATTTTCATCAATCAAGGTTGAAATAAAAAATGTTTTTTTTTTAAAGCCATGTTGTCGGATATTTGTGGCTACTTTGTTTTCATCCTGCAGCAACTTTGTGGAGATCTGTTAAAAACATGGACTTTTTTACTCCTTTCTGTTTCAGGCGAAACAATCCAATAGAGAAGTGGTTCTAAAACTGCCACATTAACAACCAGATCATGTTTGGCTGGCGACTGCTACTTGGTGTGTCACAACGTTTTGTCACTGACACAATGTCAAATCATCTGGCACAATGTACTGACACATCTGACTGACATGTGTCACAATGAATTGTCAAATAACAGAGACGCCAAATATTTGAAACAGGTTACCTGACAATGAATAAATAAATGTTGACCGATAGTTTTCAAGCCTTGAATAAACAAATTACGGCTTAAATATGTGTGTGAGCCTTAATATCAGTAGCGTGGTTGTTTGTTTATAAATATCCACGCTCATGTTTGATTCATTAACAACATTTATAATTAGCTATCGATATGTGACATCATGTAGTGAGCGTTTAGCAATGGGAGGGGGGGGAGGGGTATAAGTCTAACTGGATTGTATCAATAATGATTCAATTTTTGATCGGTGAGGCACAGTTATTTTACACTATATACATATTAGTCTATCATTACTAGGGACTTAGTCTAACATACGAATATGGACAAGGTCTAACATCACTTTAATATGACTGTCTACATAAGTATTTATTCATGAAGGAAAGATTCGTTTTTATTTAATTTTTTTTTACCCGAAACATTTGCTAACGTGTGTTAAAGTTTAGGTAATTCAGAAACATTCGATAACCTGTTGTCAGTGGTTGGTTGAAAGCTTGAAGCTAGTTGTTGGAACAATCGATGTAACTTTTCGGAAACATTCGGTAAACTGAGTGCAATATTTGGAAATATTTAAGTAATATTCGGTAACTTATCGTCACATTCGGTAATTTGGAGGCGACTTTCTGAAATCTGATACCAATATTCGGAAAAATGTCGACAACATTCGGAAATATTCGACAATTTGTCGGCAACATTCGGAAATATTCGACAATTTGTCGGCAACATTCGGAAATATTCGACAATTTCTTGGCAATATTCGGAAAAATTCGACAATTAGTCGGCAACATTCGGAAATATTCGACAATTTGTCGGAAACATTCGGAAATATTCGACAATTTGTCGGCAACATTCGGAAATATTCGACAATTTCTTGGCAACATTCGGAAAAATTCGACAATTAGTCGGCAACATTCGGAAATATTCGACAATTTGTCGGCAACATTCGGAAATATTCGACAATTTGTCGGCAACATTCGGAAATATTCGACAATTTCTTGGCAACATTCGGAAATGGGGCGGCATGATGAGGTATTCTACGGCAACCAGTCGTCACCGTACGGCAAAGTGTGGACGTCCGCAAGCTGGTGTTGACGTCCGCAGGCTGGTGCTGACGTCCGCAGGCTGGTGTGGACGTCCGCAGGCTGGTGTGGACGTCCGCAGGCTGGTGTGGACGTCCGCAGGCTGGTGTGGACGTCCGCAGGCTGGTGTGGACGTCCGCAAGCTGGTGTGGACGTCCGCAAGCTGGTGTTGACGTCCGCAGGCTGGTGCTGACGTCCGACTGACCAGTGAACAGCACCCCCCATCATGAGACAGAAGCCGGCCGACAGTGCAGCTGTTATTTCCTAATCAGCGTGACGGGCCGAGGTAGGCGAC